TATCTAAAGTTATTTGCCATGAAAGGTGGTGGAGGCATTAGAGACTCATCCAGAGATGAGGAGATATTCATGTGAGATGTTACCTCCTTGTCAGCCCTTGCCTTCTGCTCCTCAAAAATTTCCTCTGTTGGCTCTGGTTGCTGGGGTGTGAGTGAGGGTTCAGGGGAGTGGGTCTGCCTATTTGCCCTGCAAGAGTGACTCAGAACACTTTGGAATTGTTGGCAGTACATGGCCCAGGGGTTGCAATAAGGACACTGGGAGAGCCCATAAGGTGAAGGAGGAGCCATCCACCATTGGTAACACCAGGGAGACAGAGGACGAGGTCATCAGAATAGGTAAAAGAATGGTGTCTTGAAGACTATACCATTGAACTGAAATCTGAGAATCAGAAAACTCATCAACATTTTTGGCGGGGGGGGGGAAGAGGATGATAACTGTTTGCTCTGGATTGTCAACACTGGGGTAAAAGAGGTTTTAGAGAAAAATGGAGAGTCTGGGACCTAGAAGCTCTCAGTTACTTCTGGGGGAATTCTGCGCCACTGCGCAATGCAGAATTTTGCAGAAATTAGTGGGTTTTGCACATAATTTTCTTTCCCCCACAGAAATGGGCTGCAGTGCTGCTGGCTGCTACTAGGCCACTGGACCCGGCAGAGCCCAGATTGCACATAGAAGACACTGCTCGGGGGAGATGGAGAGTGTAGAGAGTTCCAGGCAGTTGCAGTTCCCCGCACACCCTGAGGTAAGGCGATGTCAGTGCACCAGGAAACTCCATACAAGCCTGGGGTCCCAGAAGTAGATTGTTTCTCCTTCTGGATCCTTGGGCAGTAAGGGGGCAGGTGTCTGGGCTGGGGGAGCCACACCTGGGTTTGGGGAGGGAAGGTGTGAGTGTCTGGGCTGGGGGAGGCCACGGCTGGGATCTGGAGGGAAACAGGGTGCTAGGGGGGCCCTCATAGCTGGACTTGGGGGGAGGGGTTGTGGGTGTCTGGCCCCCTAGCATGCTTTGTGAGGTGAAGGGGGCAGAGAGTTTCTTTAACTCTCTACTCCTGAGGGAATTTTCATGTGTGTCTGTATTGTTAGAGACATACATGCTGACAGGTATTTTGAAATAAATTATCAAAATAATTGAAACTGGTGTGATTGTGGCTGTGATTATGTAGTGTTATTTTGACAAATAAAATTTGCAGCATTTTGCAGTATTTTAAAATATTGTGTGCAGAATTTTTAATTTTCCCTCAGGAGTACTCAGTGCACATAAGTCATGGAAATTCTGGCTGATCGGCACAAGATCCTATGAAAATCTAAACTTCTGTGATACTGATACATAAGTGGGAATTGGACACAATCCTGTGGAGACGAGCATTGGTACTGAGGTAGGGACCTTTTCTGAATGTGTTGGTGCAGCAGTTGAGTGAGTACATCCAGACTCTGTCAGTATCAATGTAATGGTCCAGGTCACTGGGGTAGGTAGAATCATAGGACTAGAAGGGACCTTGAGAGGTCATCTAGTCCAGTCCCCTGCCTCATTATCTAGCCTATTCCTGACAGGTGTTTGTCTAACCTGCTCTTAAAAAATCTCCAGTGATGGAGATTCCACAGCCTCTCAAGGCAATTTATTCCAGTGTTTAACTACCCTCACAATTAGGAAGTTTCTCCTAATGTCCAATCTAAATTGCCCTGGCTGCTATTTAAGCCCATTGTTTCTTGTCCTGTCCTCAGAGGTTAAGAAAAACAATTTTTCTCCCTCCTCCTTGTAACAACCTTTTACACACTTGAAAACTGTTATTGTGTGTATCTTCCCCTCCTCCCCCCCTCCCCGGCTTCTCTTTTCCAGACTAAACAAACACAATTTTTTAAATCTTCCCTCGTAGATCATGTTTTCTAGACCTTTAATCATTTTTGTTGCTCTTCTCTGGACTTTCTCCAATTTGTCCACACCCTTCCTGAAATGTGGCACCCAGAACTGGACACAATACTCCAGTTAAGGCCTAATCAGCACGGAGCAGAGTGGAAGAATTAGAACACTCCTGCTAATACATCCCAGAATGACGTTCGCTTTTTTTGCAAGAGTGTTACACTGTTGACTCATATTTAGCTTGTGGTCCACAATGACCCCCAGATCCCTTTCTTCAATACTCCTTCATAGGCAGTCATTTCCCATTTTGTATGTGTGCAACTGATTGTTCCTTCCTAAATGGAGTACTTTGCATTTGTCCTTATTGAATTTCATCCTATTTACTTCAGACCATTTCTCCAGATCATTTTGAATTTTAATCCTATCCTTCAGAACACTTGCAACCCCTTCCAGATTGGTATCATTCACAAACTTTATAAGTGTACTCTCTATGCCATTATCTAAATCATTGACAAAGATATTGAACAGAACCGGACCTAGAACTGATCCCTGTGGGATCCCACTGGTTATGTGCTTCCAGCATGACTGTGAACCACTGATAACTACTCTCTGGGAATGGTTTTCCAACCAGTTTTGCACCCACCTTATAGTAGATCCATCTAGATTGCATTTCCCTAATTTCTTTATGAGAAGGTCATGCGAGACAGTATCAAAAGCTTTACTAATGTCAAGATATACCATGTCTACCACTTCCTCCCATCCACAAGGCTTGTTACACTGTCAAAGAAAGCTATCAGGTTGGTTTGACACGATTTGTTCTTGACAAATCCATGCTGACTGTTACTTATCACCTTATTATCTTCTAGATGTTTGCAAATTGATTGCTTAATTATTTGCTCCATTATCTTTCCGGGTTCAGAAGTTCAGCTGACTGGTCTGTAATTCCCCGGGTTATCCTTATTTCCCTTTTTGTAGATTGGCACTATATTTTTCCTTTTCCAGTCATCTGAAATCTCTCCCGGTACCACAGCTACTGAAGAGTCTGGTGTTGTAGACCTTTTTGAAGTAGAATGTCTGCTCATATGGAAATAAACACTTGAAGCAGAAGAGGTCTTCATCATCGAGTCTCATTTGGCAGAAACGAGGCTTTTAGAGAGAGCCTTAGACATTTTCCCAGTACTAGAATCACTTGGGCTTGGTCTACACTTACCCCCCAAGTCAAAGTAAGGTACGCAAATTCAGCTACGTGAATAACGTACCTTACTTCGAACTTACCGCGGTTCAGACGCGGTCCACACGCGTCAGGCAGGCTCCCCGTCGACTCCGCGGTACTCCTCTCGTTGAGCTGGAGTACCGCAGTCGACGGCGAGCACTTCCTGGTTCGATTTATCGCGTCCAGACCAGACGCGATAAATCGAACCCGGAACTTCGATTGCCAGCCGTCGAACTACCCGGTAAGTGTAGACTAGCCCTTGGAGCCTCACTATTACTCCCTTTGGTACCTGAGGTCTCCAGAGCCTTCTTCACAGTCAGCAATCCAGACTTCTTGGGAGGAGATATATCACTACTGCTCCTTTTGTTGGTACCCATTAGACTTAGAGTACTGGACTCTTGGTACTTCCAGCATGGACATAGGTGCCACATCTCCCAATGCTTTTGTTACTGAGACCCAGAGGTGGATAGGGTACCAGCCTATGTATCCCTCAAGGGTCTTGGTGAACAGGATCTGGATGTAGACAGAGCAGTATATGTGCTCAGATGCTGGTGTCCAGGGTGGTCCTTGGATCCTGGATCAGAAGCCAATCCTAGAGCTTGCTCCATCCATGGTTTGTCTTTATTTCCCTGATTATGAGATCTGCTGTTGAATGAGGAGCAGATCTTACACTTAGCCGGTATGTGCGTGTCTCCTAAACACAAAAGACACCAGGAGTGTCCAACACTAACTAGGATAGCCTCCCATCAGGAAAGACAATGCTTTAAGCATGGGGATCCCAGCATACCCCAGATACTGAAATCATCCAGAAAAAACCCTCAAAAGGCAGAAACAACAAATCCCAACTAAACTAACTACAAGTAAACTGTCTAAACTAACTATGACTTGGCAAAAGGGAAGTAGGCATGCTCGACGTTCCATCTCAGGCTGAAGGCGGTTGAGGGTGGTTCACCTGTGCAACCCTATATATCCTTGGTATGGGGCACGAGGATATGTAGGACGCATGCACAGGTTGAACGGACACTACTAGCAAAATCTCACATCAAAGGTGCAGGAGTGCATGTGCCGTTGAAGTGGAGCACCCATTGGGACACTGTGCAAAGAATAATTCCACATCTACTTTAGCCACTTACCCAGCAGGACTTGAAGGGCTTTCCGAGTCACCAGCCACTGATTTCAATAGCTCCCCCCATTCCATCTCTCTTCCACTGCTGCTGCTCTTTTCTCTCCAAAATTGAAGTTTAATTTAGTGATATTTAAAGCTGGAACAGGACAGGGGAGACGTGGTGGGGATACGGAGACCAGACTGCAAGGGAAACTTGGGAGGAAAGAAAACTGGGGTCACAGAGAGGGGCATGAGAAGGGGAAGCAGAGGGGAGGGGCAGTAGCATAGGGAAGGGGCCCCGGAGCTAGGGAGGGCAGTTTTGGAGTAACAAGGACAGGTGTAAGTGAATGTCTAAGGATTCCTAAATGTGAGAGACACGTTGCATGAGCACACTTGTATACACAGGCGGTGAGGCAAGTATGCTCTTGCTTACAGGTTGGATCACATATACTCTCACATTTGGATGCAAACTGCCCGCTCCTCCTTCTCCCCCAAGGATTTGCTGTGTATTGCAGATGCTGTGCCAGAATGATGCATTTGTAAGTATGTGCTGTGCCGGCTCCCGTGTCACTGCAGCCTCTGATGCCGAGTCCTCATTCCCTCTCCCAGAGCTGCTGTGCGTGCATCTTTGCTGGGAAGTGCTGCAAAGGTAGTAGGAGAAGTTGCAGAATAAAAGCCTTGGTCGTCATTGGCTCTGTAACTTTTCATTCTTTTTCTCCTTTTCTCCCCACTCTGGGTTTTTCATTGCACATCACAAGTGTAAATGGATGGGCTTCACAGAAGCTTGAAGTACTGAGAGGTTTTGATCCAGACCCAGGCTACAACCAGTGATGTCCGAGAGCAAACTGGACGATCTCCTTTCTTGCAGGAACTGGTCTTCTGTTCCAGAACTGAATGATACTCAGGAGCCTTTTTCAATCCCCTCTGCTGACTATAATGATGAGGAATTTCTGCGATACCTTTGGAGGGAATATTTACATCCCAAAGAATATGAATGGGTCCTGATTGCAGGGTATATTGTTGTGTTCATTGTGTCTCTCATTGGAAACATCCTGGGTGAGTATTGCTCTGCATTCCTCCCCAGAAGAGTTGTAATATAACCGGTTTGGATTGATTTTCAAACTGCTTAAACTGTGAAGTGCTTAAACTGTCAGCAATGTAGTGGTGGCATTTGGGAACATTGTTTCTTGCATCTGAGAGTGAACGTTAGATTTAGACAAACAGATGAGATGAATGTGTTTGTACCTGACAGTTTATTTTGAAATGAAAATTGCTAACTCTTCATGCCATTTGTCATGCTTGTGGTATTTAACAGGCTGGTAGCATCATGTGCTATAATCATTTGAGACGGCTAAAAGCAGCTTTTATGAGTGTTTTAATTTAGAGAGCAACAATTTTTTAGCTGTTTACTAACAATTAGTTGCAGTTGTAATTAGAATCCCAAAGTAAAGAGCTCATCCAAGCTAGGAAGGTTGTGTCAATGAAATGCTAATTCTCTAATCTCTGTCCAGCTGGCAGGGGTGCTGAAATTCTCGAGCCCTATTCAGATCTTTACAGACAGATGTTTTCCCTCATACGTTGCTGACAGCTGCTCTTTGACAGCACTTCTCTGCCTGGTCATCATGCTGCTTTTTTCATTCAGATATTCTCAACCGAGTTGGCAGAGTTTAACTTTGACATTTAAATGCATAGGTGGTCATTACTCACCTGACAGGAGTTACTCTTGGCACTGATAAATGTGGAAAACAAATTAGATTGATAACTTGTTCTTATATCTACAGTTTGAATCGATTTCTATGCATAGAATGAATGCTAGGCTCCAAGGGTGTAACTATGGAGAGTGGGGCACTCCCAACTTTCAGCCAGGGAGGGAGAGGAGACAGAAATATTTGTGTCTGTCTCTCCACACATCCCCACCCACATTTCATTCATCTGTGAAGGAGGAGGGGAGGTAGCACAGTAGAAAGCAAAGAACAGTGGCTGCTGCTTCATGCAGAATTGCTCAGCGGACGCCTATCAGGGAAAAGGTGAAGAGGGTGCTGTTCGGGGGGCGGGGAGGGGGACTTGGAGGCAGGCACCATGGGTAATTTCTGGGAGGTGAATTGGAGGGCAGGGGAAGGCAGACAAAAGAGGGGGAAGATATAGGGATCTAGAAGGGTAGGAAGGTAAGGCAGAGCAAAGGGGGAGGTTGGAGGTACTTTACTAGACAGAGTGACTGAGGGAGGCAAGGAGGATGTGAAGAAAGGGATGGAGAAAAGCAACATCACAAATGAAAGTTTTAGTAAACCTTAGGGCACAGAGTAATGGGGACCTTAAAATAGTAAAGACAGGGGAAGCTGGGGAGGGAGGAAAAACTGTGAGGATTTGGGATTGGAATAACTGGGGGAGATAAAGGCCTTTGGGAGGAGGAGGTGACTGAAGGGATGTGGAAAGAGGGGGAGGTATGGGAATAAGAAGAAGTTTTGAGGTAGGGAGGGGAGAAGAGGGGTTTGAGGAGAGAAGTGGATATTAGAGAGAATGAGGAGTTTGGGAAAAAAGACTGGAAAGGTGAAGAGTGGAAAGAGGAGAAGGTTGACTGAAGGGCATGGGGGTCAGGAAGAGTTGTTTGGTGAGAGGTTTAAGATAATGTGGGGTTGGGAAAGAGGAGAGATTGGAGATTTGGAAGTAGAGGGAATATTCGGGGAGAGGGAGGGAGGTTTTGCAGAGCAATTGGGAGGAGGACCATGTAAGGTGTTTGAGACGGATGGGTATTGGGGAGCAGTGGGGTAGGGCAGGGGGCTTTGTGGAAAGGGGATAAAGTGAGATTCAGAGACTTGGGTTTGCCAAGAGGAGAGTGAAGAGAGCCTGGGGAATGAGGAGGTTGGGGGAAGAGGTAGCACAGGCTGATAAATTTGAGGTGGAGGGAGGTAGGGGAAGTGCAGAGACATGGTGTGGAGGGAGCAGAAAGTAGGACAGGCAGGAGTCGGGAGGTAGAGAGAACAGCAAAAGGTTGGAAAGTAAAGGCAGAGAGGAAATTGGGGGGGGGTAGGAAGGATGGAGGAAGAGGAGTTTGTGCACAGCTAGCAGATTTGAAGATAGAGGAGAGAGAAGAATGATGGGGAAGAAGGAAGATGGCTTTGGAATAAGGAGAAGCAGCTGGGGAGCATGAGGAGGCTTAGGGGGAGCTGGTAGTGACTGAAGAGAAAGAATGTGAAGGGATTTATGAGGAGCCAACATCCTTGGAAACTAAAAGTATCAGCCAAAGGGTAGCTCTCAGGTATTCTTGAATAATATCAAGGAAAAAGATATATAACTCTTTAGAATCTAATGTAAGCATAGGTTTATAAAGAAACATGCCAGCAGTGATGTCCAGGGCTTAATTGCTAGGAGGAGCAAATCATGCCACACAATTGGAGGAGAATTAAGGATGCATTCAGGGACCAATGCTCTAAGTACTTGAAACCACAGGATACCGGATTCCTGGGGGGAATTAAAATACCCAGATGTCTGTTGGGTGTCAGTTACAACCAAACATACACCTTCAGCAAGTATCCTGAGTTACACACAGGAAAGGATTATAATCCATGAGCTAAAAAATGCAGCCATAAGAAAAATCATCTTGGACTGACTTGCTGTTGATCAGGAGGAACTGATTGAAAATGTGAGGCAAATAGAGGAACGATAAGGAGTGTTCACAAGCTACTTAAATTTAACAGAGTAACAAAGGGGTTAATAAAAGCTAGCACTACAAAGGGATTAGATTTCAAAAAAAGCAGTTTCAAAAAAGAACAGAGTGAAATGGGAGGAATTATTCAAATCATGACTGTGGAAGAAGGCAGAGCAATCTGAACATACTGCAATAAAGGCACAACTTCTCAGGTGGAGAGTGGGGGAAGAGAAGAAAGGAGGACTGCCAGAAACAAGAAGTTGCTAGGGTAATGAGAATGGAAAGGGGAGGAAGCCACCCAAACAAGACTGCATAATTAAGAGTTGTAGGAAAAAATTATGGACAGAAAAAATGGTGCTAGGCATAGGAGTTAAGAATCTGAAAGGTTTTTGTATTGTTACTAATATATTAGAGGTAGTGTAACAGGGGAGAAAATTTCCATACTGAATCTCATTTTAATTTCTCCTCATGGTTTCAATTTTTCTAGGTCCCTTTGTGTAATTTCTCACTGGTAATTCAGATAACATGGACTGCATTGCAGACAACTTTTTATTTCAGAAGGTTGAAAAAGCTACTGGGGGGAAGCTGTTCTAGACTTGATTTTAACAAATAGGGAGAAACTCGTTGAGAATTTGAAAGTAGAAGGCAGCCTGGGTGAAAGTGATCATGAAATCATAGAGTTTGCAATTCTAAGGAAGGGTAGAAGGGAGGACAGCAAAATAGAGACAATGGATTTCAGGAAGGCAGATTTTGGTAAGCTCAGAGAGCTGATAGGTAAGGTCCCATGGGAATCAAGTATAACAAAGGGAGATTTTATTGGGAGCAGGAAAATAGGATCCGAGGAAGGAAAGGGTTATGGTTAACTGAGTACTAAAACATCAACAAATTTCCCACCTCCCTTCAATCACAGCTCTTTCTCAGCTCCCTCCCTGCCCCCTTGCCAGGCAGGGAGGAAACTGGGGATGTCTGAAGATGAGTGCTGCAGCAACTGTGAATGCTGGCTGGCTTAAACAAAACCTCTTACGTGGGTTTGCCCCTGGGTGGGGCAGGGTCCTCTCCTGGCTCCCTGGTCTGGAGTCATAGAATCATAGAATCAGAGAATATCAGGGTTGGAAGGGACCTCAGGAGGTCATCTAGTCCAACCCCCTGCTCAAAGCAGGACCAATTCCCAACTAAATCATCCCAGCCAGGGCTTTGTCAAGCCGGACCTTAAAAACCTCCAAGGAAGGAGATTCCATCACCTCCCTAGGTAAAGCATTCCAGTGCTTCACCACCCTCCTAGTGAAATAGTGTTTCCTAATATCCAACCTAGACCTCCCCCACTGCAACTTGAGACCATTGCTCCTTGTTCTGTCATCTGCCACCACTGAGAACAGCCGAGCTCCATCCTCTTTGGAACCCCCCCTCAGGTAGTTGAAAGCAGCTATCAAATCCCCCCTCATTCTTCTCTTCTGGAGACTAAACAATCCCAGTTCCCTCAGCCTCTCCTCATAAGTCATGTGCTCCAGCCACCTAATCATTTTTGTTGCCCTCCGCTGGACTCTTTCCAATT